ATTTTATTTAGCTAAAAGAATGTTTTACTGTGTATGGGTTTGTTCTTTGTTTTTGTTTTTTGTAGAGGTGGAGTTTTGCTATGTTGCCCAGGCTGGTCACGAACCCCTGGCCTCCAGTCATTGACCTGTCTCAGCCTCCCAAAGTGCTATGCCCAGCCCTAAAATAATGTTTTTAAAATTAAAACTTTTTTTAAGTTAAATGTCTTTCTTAATGTGTACCCCATACCCTATGTTTGGCCTTTTCCATGTTTAATTACCTGTCTGCCCTGGAAAGCATTGGAATCTGTGACCCCATAAGAGCCCATCTCTCACCCTCACTGTGATGTTAGGGCTGATGCCTTGGGACACCTGTGTTTTGAAGGTGCTTCATCTCCTTTCACTTGGAAGGTACTTTGGGGTCGCCTTGTCAGCACTGAGAAATCAGGTTGAGGGCCCAGAAAAACAGATAGGACTCTTACCCTTTCCTCACTTCACCAACTTTGCCTCCCCCTTCCCACCCTGCCAAAGACTCCACAGTCCCAGACAGGGGAGCCTGTGTTCCCAGGGCCAGAAGTCCACTGTGTGTGGGCAGCTCAAAGGGGCTGGGCTGCCAGCATTGACCTCATGATCTTCAGTGGACCCAGAAGTCCACAAAGCCTGGCGTTGACCGAGATCACTGGGCTCAAGGCTGGGCCACTGCCACTTAGTCCAGAGAGCCTACAAATGCAGGGCAGCTCCCATCCCAGCTCTGCTGCACTTCAGGACAGCACCAATTGCAGCTGAGGTGAGGGCCCCAGGCCCAAGAGAGGGGGATGGATGGTCCCCTGAGTGTCCTAAGGGCTGTGGGTACCCCCATGTTCACACGTTCCTAAAACAAGTCCTGGGCAGCCTGTCTCATGACACCAGGAAACAGCTGCTTGATGGGAAAACTGCTCTGTGTGTGTGTGTGTGTGTGTGTGTGTGTGTGTGTGTGTGTGTGCTGGAGTGGGGAAGCGAGGGAAGAGGGAGGGAAGAAGAAAGGAAGGGAAAAAAACAAGAGAGCACTGAGCAATTCCAAAGGCGTGTGGTTTTCTTCTTGTGGTTTGATGCAAGGGTTTGGTGGTTTAAGTAAACCCTGAGCCCAGATTGTGGGACAGTTAAAGACTAGGAGGAGCAGGGGCGAGTCCTGAGAACAAAGAGCCTATTGAGGGTACCCTGCCCAGGGGGAAAAGGCAGGCAGCATAGGGTGGGGCAGCCCTACTCACCTGTGGGAGCCCTTCTTGGGCACAGGCTTCCGGGCTACCCAAAAGCCATCACAAGTATGACTCACCCGGGAACTCCTCTCACAATGGTTGGGGACAGCACTGCATGAGGGGAGCCTCCGAAAGAATGCAGTTCCCTATGTGAGCCAGATTTGGGGTTCAGTAGATGAAGGTGCCACAGAGAAAGACCAGAAATGATAGTTCGGATTTTCATGCTGGAACACTCGCTAACACAACACCAAGCCTCAGAGCTTGGGCCGGGTCACCTGCAGCTCTAGCTTTCTAAGATTCTAGACCTCTCTTTAGGGGTGTGGCTTTTCTTTCTACTTCTCGGTCTCAGCACTCTGAAGGACCCTAAGGTACAGCATGATAATAGCTAAATGTATGCAGCCCTGCTCACTTGCCAGACATTCCTAAATATTCTCTGCTAGCTCATTTAATCCTCACCATTCTAAGAAGTAGGTCCTATGGTGACTTCTGTTTTACAGAGGAGGAAACTGAAGCACAGAGAGGCTGAGTGAGTTGCTGGTTTGTGTGTCCAGGGAGTGGGCTCTGCATCTGTATTAATGATGATACGCTGGCTTATTAGGGGAAAGGGAGAATGTTCAGGACAAGGGCAAACACCAGATCCCAAGGCACAGGCTCCCATGGCCCAGGCCCTTCCTTCAGTCTCGTCCTCACAATAAACACAAACCAATGCAGAAGAGGATGGTCACCCCCAGAGAGGCCAATGCCCTGGCTCCTGATCCAGAGGAAGGCAGAAGGCTCCTGTGCTGTCTGAGAGACAAGGACTGGCACTGGTTAGGGGGGCGGACTGGATGAGTCAGACGCCCACTGCACTGAGCAGCCTTTGAATATACCTCTACGGTGAAGAGCGTGCCGAGGGACTGGAATTTTCTGATAAACTGTAACATCTGGGTGTTACACCCTGTTAGCTTTGAGTGCTCCTGGAAACTTCCTTCAAATGACCGTGTAGGAATAATCCCAGGGCCACCAGCAGGGCAGCTCCCTGTCAGCCCAAAACAGAGCCCCTGGCCCAACACTGACACATACTTTGTGGGTTTCCTTTCGGCTGACCCCCAGGCTGTGGGAACTGAGTTGCAGGCCATCTCCACACCTGGCCCCTCACCCTGGTGCCCCTCCAGTAGCCTCTTGCATCCCCTCTTCTCAGATCACAGGGTGAGGGTGTGTTAAAGACAATGGGGAGCAGGGAGACCCTCTAAGGTCCCACAAAGCAGCACAGTGGGTGGAAAGAGAACGTTGGAATCCCAAAGACCAGACTTAGAGCCCATCACTTGCACTCTCTGACAGTAAATAAAAATGCGAAGCTTATGGTTACTGTGAGGATTCAAAGGGTAAGCTTAGCTGCTATGGCAATCAGCATGGTGCCTTGCACAGAGTAAGTGCTTAGTGGGTGTTGGCTGTTACTAACTGGACCAGCTCCTAAGTCTACTGAGAGTCAAGTGATGCTGGAAAAGTGATATTGAATAATAATCTGTACCGGGGTCAAGCATGGTGGTGCAGGCTTGTGATTCCAGCTACTCAAAAGGCAGAGGCAGGAGGATAACTTGAGCCCGGGAGTTCTAGACCAGGCTGGGCAACACAGCAAGACCATCATCTCAAAAAAAAAAAAAAGAAAGAAAACAAAATGCTGGGTGTGGTGGCTCATGCCTGTAATCCCAACGACTTGGGAGGCTGAGGAGGAAAGGCTCACTGGAGTCCAGGAGCGAAGGCTGCAGTGAGTTATGATTGTGCTTCTGCACTCCAGCCTGAGTGACAGAGCAAGACTATCTCAACAACAAGATAATAATATGCACCTGGCCTTTTTTGATTAGTACTTTCCATATATTTTCTTATTTGTTCCATGAAATAAGATGAAGAGTCACTTGAGAGCCAGAGAGGTTAAGAAGCTTGCTGTCACTTTCCTGGCCTGCAGAGCTCCACAAAACCCAGTCCAGAACTTCAAGCCAGGAACCGTCTCATGAGAAAAGTCCATCCCCTTCAACTTCACTTGAGAATGCATTATATCTGAAGCCATTAGCTTTATTCCTATTAAGTAAAAATTAATCTGGCTGAGGTAAATAATAAATTAGACTTGGGTTTTTTTTTTTTTAATTTATTGAGATGGAGTCTCCCTCTGTCACCCAGACTGGAGTGCAGTGGCGTGATCTCGGCTCACTCCAACTTCTGCCTCCCAGGTTCAAGTGATTCTCCTTCCTCAGCCTCCTGAGTAGCTAGGACTACAGGTGCCCAACAGCAAGCCTGGCTAATTTTTAGTAGACATGGGGTTTTACCATGTTGGCCAGGCTGGTCTTGAACTCCTGACCTGAAGTGATCCATCTGCCTCAGCCCACACAAAGTGCTGGGATTACATGTGTGAGCTACCGTGCCTTGCCGAAATTAGACTTTTTAGATCAGGATACATTGGGTTGTATGAAACTTCAAATCTATTGTGTTGAAACTAAACTCCCCTTATTGCTAAATTCACATTGGCAAAGAAATCCACACTTTTACAAACGGGTTTTCTACCAGACTTCTTGAAACATGGAGCTTTTACAGGACCAGAGCTATTACATAAAACTGGGTACACATGGATGCTTGCATGAACAATGTTAGCACACTTAAGTTCTAGTTTATAACATGTAGGGCCCAAAATTGGAGTTGCCTAGATAGTCTCTGAGGCAAGACTTATTGAGTAACATGAACCTACTTTGTCCCTGTTATTCTGAAGCATCGTGTGTCTCACAGACTTTGGCTTTCTGGGGTCACCATCCCTGGTTTCCTTCCCAAGTTTCTGCCTGAACCATGCTGCTGCCTCTGCTTATAACAACTTCCCCAGGCTGGCAAGAATCTAGATCAGACCCAAGCCTACATGACCAACACATACCATTTGCCACACCAAGTTGTCCTCTGTTCCTAGACTTGGCTAAATTGCTACACCTAGAGCATGGCATCTAGCTTTCTAACCAGTTGCTATAGCACCAAATAATGTAAGATAAGAGTGTTAGCAACTGCTAGGAAACGGAAGACGAAAGAGAGCTACAAAATAAATGTCTCTTCATTTCCTCTTCTATGGATAACTCTGAGGACTGACTTCCCCTTGAAATTCTGGAGAAAATCCAGCATGCAACATGAACACACATGCCAACTGACTTGCATGTCTCCTCATGGTTAATCGTGACGCAGTGCCCAGCACAGTAACACATTGTGTTGTTTTACATGTATCTTTGCCTCACTTCACATTTTTTTCCACCCTTATTTCCCTATTCTTGTACCTTGCAAATACAGTGTCAGCACTTTAATCCTTGCTTAAAGCTCTGTGTTCTAGAAGACACAGGCTAAAGCAATTGTCCAAGAGTGATTCTAGAACACAATTCTCAGGATGGAATTATGATTGAATGTCTCATTTGTCTTAAAGTAATAGGTACTCCATTGCTGGCAGTACATGGCTAGTAACAACTCCTTGGCACTTGGTAGACTCATTATTTTTTCAATTTTCACTGTAGTTAATTGGGATAAAGTGCAGGTCAGGCATAAGACAAGGCACTGAAAGATCAAGTGGCTATGACCTTCAATCAGTATAGAAGCTGAGATGGTTTGGCTGTGTCCCCACCCAGATCTCATCTTGAATTCCCATGTGTTGTGAGAGGGGCCCAGTGGGAGGTAATGGAATCATGGGGGCAGGTCTTTCCCATGCTGTTTTCACGATACTTAATAAGTCTAGTGAGATCTGATGGTTTTAAAAAACGGAGTTTCTCTGCACAAGCCCTCTTCGCTTGTCTGCCACCATGTGAGACATGCCTTTCACCTTCCACCATGACTGTGAGGCCTCTTCAGCCATGTGGAACTGTAAGTTGATAAAACCGCTTTTTTTTTTTTTTTTTTTTTTTTTTCATAAACTTCCCAGTCTCGGGTATGTCTTTATCAGCAGCATAAAAACAGACTAATACAGAAGCAATGTTACCTATGAGACTTTTGAACTAGGATGGCTACTTATGGCAGCACTAAAGACATTTAAATAAGTAATAGGTCAGGGAAGTTGACTTATGGCTCTAAAAGCCAGGTGACTTCTATGGCAATATTAAAGAAGGTCTTTATTTCCTGAAACATTGGGAAAAACTGTGAAGATCAGGTTCAGAATATGATTCTAAGGGTTTTGGGGCTTCTATGAAGATGAAAAGAATAGCCTTAGCAAGTATTCCATGCCAAATCAGGGTTTTGACAGGGAAGTGTAGAAACCTCAGACTTGGGATGGAGACATTTAGGTGGATAAAGAAACTCCTAATTCCTGTAAGCCCTCCTTCTCTAAAGACATGACACCTTCACCTTTGCCAGAGAAGACTAGATTCCACTTGCTGGCTGTAGAGTATAATAATCTGGCCAGAAACAGTGGCTTCCCAAGCTGATGCCCATCCTCCTCAAGACAAGCTAACCTCCACCACCTCTCATTGTCTCCAGACCCAGAACCAGAGGCAGGTCTTGGCAAGCTCGGGTGCACATGCAAAATCCTGTTTCAGGGTGAAATTGTCTAGATGAAAAAAAAGTTACAAACCCCAGCAAGTACTGCTGAACATAAAGTGAATATTGAGCCCAAAGAGGGGGGCAAATACAGAGCTGGATATTGGGGTGTCATTGACATGGGATAACTCATTTATGATGCATAATTTAATTTTGTATCAAGAACACATGGATAGTTTGGTGGGATGGATATGAGGTCTTAACTCCACAAGGAACTACAGAAAGCAAAGTGGAGACCAAGAAATACCTTGGCATAGTGTTGAAGAAGAGAATAGAAGGCTCAGAGAACTGGAAATATTATACAGGGACTTCTTATGTTTGGACAAACATTTCACTGACAGTAGAAAGCGCATTGGTGAGCAAGATGCCAGCATCTTGGAGACGTTCAGTGGTGGCTTTCGAAGGCACACACCACAAACATAATTACTTGATAGGCAGCAAGCCAGAGTGCTAGGTTCAGTCAAAGTGCCTTGGTTCACAGGGCTCTATGACAGTAATTAATAGATTACAGAGTCCAAGGAGTGAGTTGCATAGAAAACCAATTAGGGTGCTATTGGATTTATACAAACAAGAAGATATCTCAATATGGCAAATGAAAGGCTGACATTAACCACTGCAAAGGAAAGTTGAGGCCTACTCCTCCAAGTCAGTTTGCAGAACCATAGCCCATTGTGAATGGAATTCTAGAATTGTAAGTGCTGACAAAAGTCAGCCTCACAGAAGATCCAGTGCATCTGCAAACCCACCCTGTGGCTATTTCCTCAGTGCCCAAGTATATAGTTAGGATAGATATAATTAGCATATACTTACCAGCTGGTGGATCCCTCACATGAGTGCCCTGATTTGTGAAGATCATTATGAGAAGAAATGGAAGCCCATGAAAGGCCAAGCGGAAGCTCTTGACATTTTCCTATCCCCAATTCTAGCTTCCACGAATAAATCAGAAGCAATGCCACATTTCTGGAGGAATTTTAGAGATTAGCATCACCATTCAACATTTGAGAGATGAAGGTGTTTGTCCCTGTTGTATTCCCAATCAGTTCACCTCTGGCAGTGGACACTGCAAACTTAATACTCCATTTCAGTTGCTGGTCAAGATATAAATTTTTTACATCTTACTTTTTTAGAGATGGGGTCTCACCATTACCTGGGCTGGACTTGAACTCTTGGACTTCTGGGTTCAAGCGCTTCTCTCACTTTCCAAGTAGCTGGGACTACAGGCACATGCCACTGGCTATGGATCTTTACTGGGGCAGATCAACACAGCCTCAGGCAATCCATCAGTAGAGCGGGACCAAAGAAGTTTACCTTTACTTAGCAGGGACAGCAGTACACATTTACTGTTTTGCCTCAAGGCCATGTTAACCTTCTTGCTTTCTGTCATGATATAGCAGAACATCATGTTGATCCACTATAGTGATGAACATACTAATTGGAATTAGTAATCAGAAACTAGGAAGTGTCCTCAAGGCACTCGTAATATACATGCATGCCAGGAAGTAAAAAATAAACCCCACAAAGATTAAGAAGCATGCTACATTGGTGAGCTTTTTAGAGTCCATTTGTCTGGGATATGTTAGGACATCCGTCTAACATATGTGCTGCACCTTGCATCTTATAATGTCAAGAAAGAGACATTATGCTGTGTTCTCACTGACAAGTGGGAGCTAAATGACAAGAACACATGGATACCAGGAGGGGAACAATAGACACTGGGGTCTACTTGAGGATGGAGGGTGGAAGGAGGGAGAGGAGCAGAAAAAAATACTTATCAGATAAAACTACCTAGTATTGGGTACTATGCTTATTACCCAAGTGACAAAATTATCTGTACACCAAACC